TTTAATTGTGTGTGTTTGCTTGGTTTTGAACTTCATTTTAGGATGCGTTTTCCCGGATTTAAAAGTATATATCAGACGTTAAGTCGTAAGAAACCTATAGAAGACTCAAGTGAATCTAAATTGGCAAAAGTTCTATCGGCCTTTGATCTGACGACTTTGGGCATTGGGTCTACACTCGGTGTTGGTGTCTATGTATTGGCTGGACAAGTGGCAAAAATATATGCTGGTCCTGCTGTAATTTTCAGTTTTCTTATTGCAGCTATTGCCTCAATTTTTGCCGGCTTATGTTATGCTGAGTTTGGCGCACGTGTGCCTAGAGCAGGTTCCGCTTATGTCTACAGTTATGTTACTATTGGAGAGTTCATTGCTTTCATAATTGGTTGGAATTTGATACTTGAATATGCAATAGGTAAGTTAAGTCCCATAAAAAATGTAGACGTTTATTTAATTCCTAAAATGAAATAAACTTGAAGCCTTTTGTTGCAAAATGTTTGTATTTATTAATTTATATACAAACATAGCCACTATCTTCATATGTATGTGTTAGATCAATCAATATTAAATTATTTGAATTGAAATAATTTCTTACGAATGTACTAAACATTTATTTTACTTCTCTGTATAACGCACAATGAATTCTTTCTGTCTTGTAAAATTGAGATTAAATTATGGCATCTTTTTTTGAGTGTCCAACATTTAATTGAGTTGATTGATTTATATGATTTTTAATTAATGTTTGGACAATTTGTTTTATTAATAAACAAAACCATGTGCCAAGCTCGCTTTTGTATAGAAATTTCATTCGGCATTTCACATGTCCATGTCTGTATGAATCTAATCTTTGATACCCTTCCAGGTTCGGCTAGTGTTGTTAAAGGTTTAAGTGCGTATTTGGATAATCTGTGCGGTCATGCTATGGAGAATTTTTTGAGTGAAAACTTGCCAATGAATATAGATGGCCTCAATGAATATCCCGATATTTTCGCTTTTGGAGTCACCATTATATTTGCATGGGCTATAGCCATGGGAGCAAAGGAATCTACACGCCTCAACACAGTATTTACGCTACTCAATTTAAGTGTGGTTTTATTTGTCATTGGAGCAGGTCTTTTCAAAGGTATGTAATGGAATAAAACCCAGGATATTTTATTAAATTTAAATCCTAAAGAATTTTCCAATTCTAATAGGAACATTAATCTAATTGCAACTAATTATTTTGTACGGTTTTAGTATCAAGCAGCAATTGGGCTCTACCCAAATCTTCAGTACCTGAGGGTTATGGTGACGGTGGATTTGCGCCGTATGGTTTTGCCGGCATTATAAGAGGTGCTGCAATATGTTTCTATGGTTTCATTGGTTTTGATTGTATTGCTACTGCTGGCGAAGAAGCTAAAAATCCTAAGAAATCCATACCATTTGCTGTTATCACCTCTCTGGCTATGGTCTTCCTGGCATACTTTGGTATTTCTACGGTTCTAACCATGATGTTACCCTACTATGAACAAGATGAAAGTGCACCTTTGGTGCATGTTTTCAGTATGTATGGCTGGACATTTGCCAAGTATGTTGTCTCGATAGGAGCTATTTGCGCCATGTGTACCAGTCTTATGGGTTCCATGTTCCCATTGCCCCGTATTGTCTATGCCATGGCAAATGACGGTTTACTATTCAAATTCATGGGAGAAATTAGTTCAAAACACAAAACACCTTTAAATAGTACTTTGCTGACGGGATTCCTAACGGGGGCATTCGCAGCCATATTTAACTTGAAACAGTTGATGAACATGATGTCTATAGGAACATTTTTGGCCTACTCCATGGTGGCTGCATGTGTACTGATTCTACGCTACGAAAGTGATGAGAGAAGAGATAGTCGTCACTTAGCAAATGGTCGTGCATTAATAGAAAACAATGATAATCACTGCAGTCTCTTGAAAATGCTATTTAATACGCCAAAGTCCATAGTACCCACAAAGAAGACAGCCAGAATTGTAACCATCATGATATGTTTATATGGTAAGTGAATTAAATTCTCAAAATAAAAAAAAAAAAATAAAACTTAAAAACATATTAATCTTCCTATTCTTTTATTGCAGTACTTCAGTGCATTTTATTAACCCAAGTATTGACTACATTTGAAGAAAACTTCTCCCAGGTTTCAATTGTTAACATTATCAAACTCGCATTGACTGTGATGTCGCTATTTATTACATTATTTATAATATCACGCCAACCAGTTGCAACCTCATCTCTTGCATTTAAGGTTCCCTTTGTTCCATGGGTTCCAGGATTTTCATTGCTTATCAACATTTATCTTATGATCAAATTGGATATTATGACTTGGGTCAGATTTAGTATTTGGATTGCTATAGGCTTAGTTATATTCTTCGCCTACAGTATTCGTAACAGCACTTTACGGCGTCGAGAATTAAAGATTTTGGCCGACTCAGAATCTCGTGGAAGAAGTGAAACAAATTCGATTTCATCTCTACAGCATGACGAAAGTTTTAGCACACAAGTTCCTCTGATGGTGATGCAAAACACAAATTAATTGTACTTTTAACGAATATTCAATTTAAGCATTAATTTAACCGCATTCGGTTCGGAAGCTAATTTTCACTCACAAATGTACTTAAATGCATTCAAAATCACTACCAAATGATAATATTTATGTGACGGAAACATATTCTGCACTTTTTATATTTTGTTTTACTTTACATGAATACTTTCGTATACAATATTAATTTTTATAATTATATTAGTTATTAGTAAAATTAGTAATAAACTATAAAGACGAATATATTTATTTTCAAAAAAAACTTGTTTAATTTATTAATTTCAAGAGAATTTATTAAAATCTACTTCCCTATAGTAAACCTATACTATCATCCAAATTATTATGTCAGGTCCCGATATTCTTATAACAGCTTTCATACAACGAAACCTTGGTTAAAACAGAACTAATTTTCTGAGTTTGTGGAAAACAATTTCATACAGTTTTCCTATAAGGATCAATTGCATAAGGAATTAATATATTTAAAGAAACTGGAAGGAATCTGCAATTCAAATCGGTGAATGTTATAATGTCATAAAAATTAAATACATATTTTAAATTTCAAACAAGTAAGAAAGTATAGTCGGGCGTGACCGACCATATGATACCCTACACCAGTTATGAATATTAAACGTGATTTATTTTTCATAATAAAGCATTTATCTTCAATATTACCTTGTTCCGATACATTTAAGCAATTTATGGATGAAAAACTAATTTTCTGAAATATGGACCAAGCCCGATAAAGTTTTGTGAATATATTTATATAACATTTATTTGTGCTGAATTTCATAGCGATATTTGTGTTTATAAGTCAATTTTGGACATTCAAGTAATTTTCTAAAGGGGACTTTGTATGGGAGCTAGGGTCAAATGAGGCCCAATCTTTATGAAATTTTGAAAGGCCATCAAGGCTTGTATAAAACTTAGTTGTGCCGCTTTTTATCGATATACATGTATATTTAACATAATTATGAGCTTAGAAGCCCTTTTCGGGGGGTTCTGTTGTATGGGGGCTAGGTGAAATAATGGACCGATTTTAACCATTTTCAATGGGCTTGTGTACCAAATTTCATCCAATTATTTTGAATTGAAAATTGCGACCTGTACCTTGCGCACAAGGTTTACATGGACAGTTAGCCAGACGGACGGATGGACGAACATAGCTTAATCGATTCAGAAAACGATTTAAAGATTTGTAATTCGAATATTCTTGAGTTTTAAACAACGAAGACTTCCCAATACATAATAATATTATTCCGTATGTGTGCATATAAAAATGATTTAATAGTGGAAGAGTTTATAAAAATGTTTACATACTTTAAGGCATAATATATTAAAAGGCCAAAACAGTAAAAATCAACGATCACTTGAATTTTTCACCAAAAATGGATTTTTATATGGAAAACATAAAATCGGCTGTAGATCCTTAAATAACGTTCCAATTGAGAAAACAATGAAAATCTCTAATCACTTGAATTTTTCATCAAAAATGGATTTTTATATGGAAAACATAAAATTGGCTGTAGATCCTTAAATAACGTTCTAATTGAGAAAACAGTGAAAATTTGTGATCACTTTAATTTATCATCAAAAATGGATTTTTTTATGAAAAACATAAAATCGGCTGTAGATCCTTAAATATCGCTCTAATTAAGAAAACAGTGAAAATCTGTGATCACTTGAATTTTTCATTGAAAATGGATTTTTATATGGAAAACATAAAATCAGCTGTAGTTCCTTAAATAACGCTCTAATTGAGAAAAAAGTGAAAATTTATGATCATTTGAATTTTCATTAAAAATTTGTTTTTAATATGGAAAACATAAAATCAGCTGTAGATCCTTAAATAACGCTCCAATTAAGAAAACAGTGAACATTTGTGATCACTTTAATTTTTCATTGAAAATGCATTTTTATATGGAAAACATAAAATCGGCTTTAGATCCTTAAATGACGTTCTAATGGCTCTAATTTTTTCGAATATAAGTAAATCCATATTATTAAGTTATTCATTAAATAGTGTGAATGTTTTTCAATTAACTATTGCCTCTAGTAGGTAATACATACGTAAAATATCAACATACATATGTAGGTATGTCACATGTTTTATTATTTTCTTTATATTAGTATCACAATAAAATTATAAAAAAATCTTATTACTTAGTATTAATATGGTATTTAATATTGAACATCTTTACGATAACACACTTTACGATACACTACGTATTGTAGTTTATTTGTATCATTCAAGTATTCGTAAGAGCGTTGAAATGAGTAAAAACGTAAGTTTTTTCTAAAACCGTTAAAGGTAAAAAAATATTATTATACACTTATAGGTATGTAGATATATGTATTTGTAAACATGTCGAGATATGGCTAGCGTATCTCAGGTACTTGTCGCAGTCGTTATTAAAAATTATTTAGTCTTATTTTGAAATTCGGAACAATTAGAACGTTTTTAATACGAACAAGTTATTAAGATCAGTACCTGCCGGGTCGTGTTATCGACAGTAAAACGAAAGGCGAACTTAAAAACAATATAAAGCAAAAGCAATTTCGGATAAACAAAGGTCTAACAAAAATTTCAGAAATTATGTTGTTTACATTTAGTTTTATCTTAAACACTGATAATTGACAATTAACTTATTTGAATTTATACAATTGCGATAAACGAATAATTCAACGTTCAGTTTATCTAAGAGATACTGAAGATACTGCATCAGGAACAACAACAACAAATGATCTAAATATTATTACTCATACGCTTGAGATACTTGTAGTCTTATCAGTTGTAAATTGTGTTATGATAAAAATAGTTTCTATAAGAAATAATTTAATTGAAACTGAAAAATTAACTTAAATCCACAAATACCAACATGCTAAATACAAATATATGTATTCTATTTAATATAGAAGAGACTCATGTCATCTATATAAGATGTTCCTTGTTTGACCCCTTGCATGTTTCACTGTTAAAAGGTTTATAGTCCTGGATCTTGAAATTATGTTTTTAAAAATAAATTTCATGTCCTTATTGTATTATTAGGTTTAATTATTATTTATTTTATACATATATTTTTGTTGTTGTGTATGTGTTGAAAGTGTTTAATTGTTGCTATTAGAATAACAGCAATAATTAACAAATAAATATAGACTTATTTTATTCATATTTAGTCGTAGTTGAATAGAACTTTCGTAATTTTAGAATTAAAGAAAAGTATTTTATTACATCTCATTAGTACAAACACTAGTTCACATATTAACGGCGCTCAACAGAAAAGAGGTGCATATAATAAATACTATTAACGTAAATAAAAGTACATAATAAAATAAATGTAAAAGCAGAGTAATATTATTACGCTCAGAAAAATAAATTCATCCAAAGTATATGACATTCTGGGAAAACTATTAATTCCATATACATATTTAAGAAATTAAGAAAATTTATAAAATATTTTAAAATTCGAGAATACATTGAAAAGTGTGTATATGTTTTGGAATCAAATTATATTAAATTCGAAATATTTACCTTCATATGCAAACCTATTTTCAACTAACTATTTACTTCGAGTGTAAATGAAACGAAGAAATTATTAACATTTTAATTAACGAAAACTTACTATTTACAGAGTAATATCTCTCTCTCTCTAAAAAAGATCTCTTCTAGTGTAAAGACAAAATAAAACAAAAACCCACTAAAAATAATTGTTTTTGTTTTTCATAAGTCTGATGTGTGTTCTTATCAGTATCATTGAGATACAAAAGTATTGTCTTCAAGATGCGATGAGGTTTTCTTTTCATTATTGTCATTATTTTTTTTTTTTTTGTGGATTTTTGCTGTCTACATATGCATGTATAGGCATGGATGTAGTACAAATAGGTTTGTATATAACACATACATACACACATAATTTTTAAAATAATTTGCATTCTATGTTAGTGTGTATGTATGCGTTTCTTTTATTTTATTTATTTATTATTATTTTTTTTTTTTTTGCCTGATTTCTGACTTTGACTGGATTTGATTTAGGGGAAAATCTTGGCATAAATTCCTATATTCACTTTAAACGCATTTCAAACGTTGAGCTAAATGGTTAAACTCAGTCCAAATAAATATTGAATTTAATACAAAATTTAAAAAGTGTACGTAAAACAACTGAAATTTTAAATATTTATTAGCTTTTACCAAATTGCGAAGAAAAAGTGTTATAGTTTTTTATTTATTTTTTGTTTTTTTAATTGTTAAAGGTAAGTCATACATATTTTCGATTCACACAAAGTATAATAAATAATAAAATTTAATAAATTTTTTTATTATTTATTACACTTATAGAAGTTTATATTATTGAATATCGAAAAAATAATAATAATAACTTTTATTTTTTTATTATTTAATTTCATACATATGTATTTAACATAGACAAGTACCTACAGTTTGCTTAATACTCAAAAAAAAAAAAAAAAGAAATAAACAGTTTCTTCATTTCAACTTATCTTACGAGCACTTTACTTGTTATACGTACAAAGATTTTATCAGTTGAAGCCAAAATAAAATTTGTGCTAAACTTTACCTAGACATACATACACATAATCATGCATATATACATACATATATACTATGTACTTATGTATGTACGTATAAACAATTGTTATCACGAATCTAAATACATCGTTTTTATTAAGAATATTTCTTTAATGTCCATGTAAGAAATGGTTAAAAAAAATCAAGCAGAATAAGTGTTATAATGAATAAAAGAATATTTTTAATAGAGAAATGCAATAACTGATTTTTCGGTACAATATAGGAACCCCAAAAATATCGTCTTTCGTAGAGTGAATCTTATTTGTTTCATTTGTGTTTAAAACTAAGTCTTGTAAATTTTAAGTCTAATTAAATAACGGTGGTAAAAATCGATTAAAATGTTTAAAATGTTTGAGGTAGTTTAGAAGTTAGAGTTCTAGTCTGTTAGACTGGAGATCGTGGTCTTAATGGATATAATTATAAAAACGATATTGAGTCGTAGTCATAAAAATGTATCTTATATTTATAAAACAAGTATTCATACAAAATTTGTTTTATAAATCATTCATAAATTATTATGAATAAAATTCATTAAGTTGTACCACACAAATACGATACGTCCGACTAAAAGGTATCAGGAGTTAAAAATATAATTAAGGATCAGTTGGATATGTAGAGGGGTTAAAAATGTTACAAAATTCCATTTCTAATGTTTCTTAATTTGTTATTAACAAAAATCCATTTTATTCATAATATTTTACTCATAATATTAAAACAAAGAAACGATAAAGTTATTGATCGTTTATTAGAGGAATTTTGCATGGAAATAAACGTAATAAACCATATATAAGCTATTGATAACTTTATGAATAAAGAATACGGCTTAACTAAATAGACAAATATTTAAAAATATAAGTATCTAATAGAATAATCCAAAATGTGGCTTCCAAAAAACTGATTGTAATAAACAGATGGACAGACATTTACTGCGGAAGACTTTTTTGCCAAAATGACTCGCAAACACGATATTTATTATAAATTTATGTGGTAATAGCTAAATTTTTTGTAAAAAATGCCATCATTAATTATTTTGTATTTTTAAATAAATCATTTTAATTTTCTCATTATTAATAAACGACCTTAGAAACCTTTTGCCTTCGAAATGTGGTCGCAGACTCAGCAATAAATAAAAGGTGATGGACGCAGCAGACATTTCTTAATTTCACTTGTATCTAAGTAAAATTCGCACAATTTCGTGATAAGAGATTGACGAAAAAAAAAACAATTGTACATTATAAAACACAAAAAAATGCGCATAATATATAAAAATTATGTTGGGCAGTTCATAACTTTGTTCATTAAGAGATTAAAAATATTTATTTTTAGAATCAAATTAAATGAAATTGAATGCACTTTGCATTATTGTCGGTCTGAAGTTAAGACCAAAACTAGACATCTTTAATTAAATTTAAATTAATTTGTAATCGTCTGTATGTATGTACGTACGAATGTATATGTATGTGTGTTATTGTTAGTACATTATATTATAATTCTGAAAATGAAACTAGAGCATAAAGACTGAAATCCTTAGTCTAATATTAAATCATAATTATATCAATTAATTCGCATTATAATAATTTAATTGTTAATAATACCAATAAAAAAATACTACTTAATAAAGTTGATGATTATTATGATGCTGATCATCACAATAAAGATTAGAAAGAATCATTCAAAGAAATTGAAATTGAAACGTAGTAGTACGTATTGTTATACATATTTATAAAATTATATGTATTTTAAACATGATTAAAATAGGAACAGTTTATTGGCATTGATGTTTCCTATAGAGTTCATAATTACAATTGTTTTCAATGAATCTAAAATGATGCGTAGTTACGTTCAATGAAGAGATTTAAGAAACATAAATTGTCCCATTTCATTCTTCATTTGATTTTTATCTTCTTTCATAAGTTCTTTGAACTGTATACAGGAATTTTAGAAATTGTATATTAATCTTCATACTCATAATCAAATATTAATTTTATTTCAGGTTTAAAAAAAGACAAATTTAAAAAAAAAAATTGTTTTATAAATCTTAAATAAAAAAAATTATTTGATTATGAATATGGGGGTTAATCTTAATATTGAGAATGTGGCTAAAGTTTATCATTTACTGAAACCAAGAATGTATAATAATTTAAATAATTAACATTTTTTATTAAATAATTTTTGCATTCATTATTTTATTATAGAAGTTCACAATGGTCCAACAACCCTCTTATTGGAAGGTTTTGACACGGAGAAAACAACTGTCGCAAGAGGGTGCGGATGGCGAGAGTAAATTAAATCGTGTTTTGGGTTTATATGATTTAACTGCCCTAGGTGTTGGTTCTACTTTAGGAGCTGGCGTTTATGTATTGGCAGGTCAAATTGCAAAAGATCAAGCTGGGCCCTCAGTAATGTTGTCGTTTGCCATTGCGGCCTTGGCTTCATTGTTGGCCGGTAAGTGAAATACTTTATAATTGAATTCAATAATAGAGTGGAATAATAATGTTAATGAACCCTTGGGTATCACTTTCAAATTATAGGTATATGTTATGCAGAATTTGGTGCTCGTGTGCCTAAAGCTGGCTCTGCGTATGTTTACAGTTATGTGTGTATAGGGGAATTTGCAGCTTTTGTCATTGGTTGGAATCTAATATTGGAATATATGATCGGTACTGCTAGTGTGTGCAGAGGTATAAGTCTGTATTTAGATACTCTTATCAATGATACCCTAAAAACCACATTTGCTGAAGTAGCACCGATGAATGTTTCTTTTTTGGGAAGTTATTTTGATTTCTTTGCCTGTGGCCTAGTAGCAGTCTTTGGAGGTAAGAGCAATAACAAATGATATTGTTAAATACCACAACTTAATATTTCTTTGACAGTTGCACTGGCTTTTGGCGTGGAAGCATCGGCGATCGCAAATAATTTCTGTACCTGTCTAAATTTGTTCATTTTATTATTTGTTATTATAGCTGGTTCAATAAAAGGTAATTCAATAATTACATTCCTAATGTTATATTCAAAAATTAATTTTTTATTTTAATTAACACTTGCAGCTAATTTTTCGAATTGGACAATTGATGTTGATACAGTAAATAAAACTGAAATACCACCAGATACTGACCTGGGTATGGGAGGATTTTTCCCATTTGGCTTTACTGGTACATTAAAGGGAGCTGCGACCTGTTTTTTTGGGTTCGTTGGTTTTGATTGTATCGCAACAACTGGTGAAGAAGTACAAAACCCACGCAAAAATATTCCACGCTCCATTTTGCTCTCGTTGTTAGTGATATTTTTGTGTTATTTTGGAGTTTCAACAGTGATAACTCTAATGGTGCCCTACTATTTGCAAGATCCTAATGCTCCACTTCCAAGTGCATTCAAAGTCGTTGGTTGGAATTTTGCAATGTGGCTTGTGTCTATTGGAGGGTTGATAGGGTTACTTGCCAGCTTATTTGGCGCTTTGTTTCCGTTGCCCAGAGTAATGTATTCCATGGCTCAAGATGGTCTTATGTTCAGAGTTTTTGCACAAATTCATCCAAGGTTCCGAGTCCCTGTTATAGGTTCAATTGTAGCTGCCATGTTGACAGGTACGAAAAAAACAATGAAAATGATTAAATGGAAAGAATTTGTTCAAAAGTATTATTTTTAGCTCTTATTGCTGGTTTATTCGATTTGGCTCAGTTGGTAAATCTTTTGTCAATTGGCACCTTATTAGCCTACAGCGTAGTGGCCATTTCTATAACAATATTGCGTTATATGGATAATGCCGATACTTTTGGAAAATCACAATCAAATGGAAATATTGACAGCGTAAATGGTGAGAATGGTCATAGCAATGGAAATGGCAATCATCACAGTAATGCCAACGGTAATGGTTATAATGTATCTGAAAACTCGCTATTGACTTCAAAAGGAGAACGTACCACTTTTAAGGCGGTAATGGTGCAACTCTTTAACTTCAGGCGAGAATACACTCCCAACGAACTGTCTACAATAATTGTTGGTACACTTATCACCGTATTTTGTAAGTATAATGTGAATTTTACACACTGAGAAGAAGCTTAGAAATTTCATATATAATTTTTAGGTATTCTGTCAGCCGGTATTGGTTTAATATTTATGCAAGCATACGACGCACTGATTAATAATCAAACCTGGGTATTAGTTTTACTGGTGGTGCTATGTGCACTCACTGCCTTGGTATTACTTTGTATATGTTTACAGCCGAGGGAATTGTGTACGCGAGTATTTACTGTCCCCTTTGTGCCTTTCGTACCGGCCATAAGCATATTTATAAATATTTATCTTATGTTACAATTAGATGTTATGACTTGGATTAGGTTTGGTGTATGGATGGCTATTGGTAAGTTTTTATTTGTATTTTAATTAAAATTATTGGATCTACATTAAATTTATGATAAAGCATGTCCCACGTCACTATCGAATAGACTAACCCATTTGTTTAATGCATGTCTCTACTAATTAAGGAAACTATCATTGCAACTAGGTATCCCTATGTTTGTAGCATGTTGGTGCATGTATGATATAAAAAATCCCGCTAATAGACATCCGGATAGGATAGAATTTGAAAGACTTTTAAAGCTTTCATCTCAAAATCATCAATCGAATTCCGAACAAGAATTTATAAATAATTTTAATAATGATCTTAATACGTCGACATCGACACTGATAATGCAACAGAATGAACATTCCGTTAGAAGTCTTGATGATATCTTGGATCTAAATGAAGTGGAGGAAGGCTTAAAGGAAGTAAAACATCCAAATGGTCAAATTTGTTATATCGAAGACAATAACAGTCACAAATCGCAAATATCACTACAAAAAATAGACGAAGGCAAAGATGTTAATTATGCATCCTTGCAAAATGACACTTCTGAAGAGGAAAAGTCTGTAATAGCATTGTTGGATAATGTACTAGAAAAGGAGGATGACAATTATCAACACTTACAGACATATGATCGCAAAATCAGTATAGACTCCGAAATGGGACCCAGTGTTACCAGAAGCACAACAGTAGCCACAGTACACAGCAGCAGTAACAGTGACAGTTCCGAAAATTGCACAAAAAGCCCAACGAATAGTATAGATTCAGGCATTGGGACCTATGAAGAAAAGCAAAAAATGGCCCAGGAACTGGTTGATGAAATTTTAAATAGCGAAGATCTATGGAGAGCAGTGGAGAAACACAAACAGCAACAACTGCTAAAAAAGACTATTCTCCACAAATCCAGCAATGCGATTGAATTAAATAACAATGAAGTTGACAGTTTAAACACGTCGAAACAAGAAAATGAAAAAATCATGAATGCCTTAAAAAGAGTCCAATCTGTAGAATCAGTGGTATCTTCAAACTCAGTAGATGATCCTTTACATTCCGAAAAGTTTCGCAACAAACTAAGTAAATTAATTATTAAACCACCTGAACCAAAGCCAGCCAAAGAACCCCCAAAATCCGAAGATTCCATTCAAGAAATACGACCTAAATTGAAACACTCGAAAAGTGAAGCTGATGTTAAAGCATTAGTATTGAAAGCCATAGAGGACTGTCATGTCGACATAGACAATAAAAATGATGCTGATGGGGAAGTTGGGAAATACATTCCAAAGCCCCCAAAATTTGATCCAGTATTATACAAAACTATAAATAGCATAAGTAAACCAAAGGATAGACCCAGTTTAGATAAACTATTAAAAATGGATGAATTAAGTAATGCAAATGCTCAAAAAATAGATTTACCCGAAAGAAACGAATCACAAAATAACGAATTGTCATTTAAACAAAAACTAGAGGCAATATTGAAACGGGGACCTAAGCCTCATACCGGGCCGGATATTGGAAAGATTAGGCCTAAATCCGTGGGACCCTTACAATTAACCACCGATAATCTTAATATTTCAGAAATTGATAATCAATCCAAAAACAATCTCAATAAAACATCTTCACAAATAGAGGAATCGAAAAAAGTTTCAACATCTGTAAAAATAATCCCAATTGAATTATAGCATTTTATAGTACTACGAATTCATAGGCTTATTTCTTTTTGTTTAGATGTACATATGTATGTTAATTATGGTTGTCTTTTCGCATGTACATACATAGTATATATTATGTTATATTTAAAATTTAAGTTCCTCAAAAAAAATCTAAAGTTTATTCAGTCTGAATGACATTATCCCAAATCAAACTTTTGGGACAACGCTGAAAAATTTTAAATTTGTTTCAAGCTTTTCAAAATTTTCAAATTATTACGAAATATTTTTTTATATGGAACAAACATTAGGAACCACAAAATGGATACCTCTAGAACTAAAATTTTGGAAGTGATATATTAAAACCAAGACACCCTTATGTGCACATACTTATGTATGTATGTATATCACTTCTAAACATATGTATACTTAAAAACACACATAATATAATCACTTGATTTGCATGCTGTATACTGGTATTTAAACATCTAGTCGTTAATATATTTTGTAATATATTTTATTATATTTTATATCTATTCCCTTTTTTCGTAAACTAGGTCTGTCAATTTACTTCTTTTATGGTCTTCCCAATAGCTTTAGGGACTTAAAGAGGCAACGTGTTGGTTGGCAGAAGTTAAAATACAGTGAATATTTTTAAGGTTTTAAAACTTTTTATTAAAGTTAATTTTATTAATTATAAGAATAATTAAAAAGTGAATATTTGAACAATACATACATGTGTATGTATTAATTTTTAAGAAATAGATTAAGATTAAACAATAATTACATATTTCCCAACAATGAACAGTAAATAAAAAGTATTTAAATAACGCAACAAATTTAATTTACAACAAACTATTCTAAACCGTTCAAGGTCAATTTTCATAAATATTTTTTTATAACCTATTTATTTTAATGTTTCAATAAAAAACTCAAAAGAAATTAAACATTTTAATAATTTATATTTACATACATAAACTCTTTTTTATTGTTTAAATAATTCGAAATATATGTAATTCTGAAGACGAATTAAGGTTTGGACAAACATTTTGGTACAATTTCCTTTTCCACTAACATTAAGCTTTGTATTTTAATTCTCTTCGCAAATAACTTATTATATTATAAAGCTTTACTTGTATAAAAGAAAAAGCTTTTACTACTTTACATTTTTATTTAGCTCTATGCTAACATTTGACTCTACACTAACACTTAACTTTGTATTTTCATCCTCTTCGCAAATAACTTTAGTATTATAAAGCTTTATTTGTATAAAACATAAAGCTTTTACAACTATACATTTTTATTTAGCTCTACACTAACACTTGACTCTACACTGTTAACACAAAAAATCACAACAACTGGAACAAAAGTAAATGTTTCCCTACAACTTTAAACACTTCTTTCCTTCTTTTCAAAGATACTTTCCAATTAATGACTGAACTGCTTTAAAAATGTGCGCAAACTAGAAGAGTACTAAAAGTGAATAAAAGTATGAGTTAGAAACTCAATTTTGCACAACAAGAAAATGTTTTTTCATAATGTTGTCAATTTTAATAATAGTTATATTTATAATAAAATAGAAAACAAAAAATTAACTTACATACATACGTATTACATTTCCTACATTTCCTTTTTATAATTCACTAATTTGATTTTTAATTACAACCTTATTTTAGCTTTTTATTACATATTCATATCAGACTTTTTTCTTAACATATTTAAAGCAAATGCTTTATTTATTTTATTTGACATTTATATTGAAATAACACTTATACATTATGCGCGTAATATTGAAGCAACGAACGACAACACAAAAGGGACACAGCGGCCGGCACAAAAAAATATATTTTTTCATACAACTTTCACATACTTTTTTCATCTATTTACATTAAAATTTTCAATGATATTTTTATATACAGATATTAAGAAACAATTATATTACAATTTTATGCAAAATTATTTACATTTTATCGGATTTTTTATGCAAAAATACTAATTTTCTTAAGACACTTCTATTTAACGACCGAACCGTGTGAAAAATAAGCGTAAACTAAAAGAGAAAATAAAAGAGATGCAAAAAGTGACAAGTAATACAATTGTACTAAATAGCTGTCATTTAGGAAATGAGATGAGTATGCGTTAGTAACTCTATTGCAATTTTGGAGTTGATACTCACATTACATACATACATATGTAAGTATGTATAGACATATTATGTATTTACAAAAGTATATTTACATCAATGAAGACAACATTCATTCATACAATCGTATTTATGTACATATATTGAAACAATTTAATATTGAAAAGTAGAATCGAAACATAATGAAGGTAATTAATTTAAATGTATATTTGCATACAATTATATGTCATATAGGATATAGAAAATATCATATCGATGGGAGTAATCCCAACGTTATGTTAAAATAAAAGAAATGCAACAAAAAGAATATGCGACGAAGTGATGTAAGTGCGTTTTTTATTCACATTAACCTTAACATAACTTTAAGTTGTGTTAATCAAAGAAGACAAAAAAATATGTTTTACATTCTTTGGCATTTACATATGTACATGTACATACATATATACATATTTGACTAATACTAATATAACACAACACTTCTTCTCTTTACACTTGCTATTGGCGCGACAAACAATAACACAAAGGAAACAAGGCGATCGCACAAATAATTTATGGTTTGCCTACAACTTTACACACATTTTTCATTTATTTATTATAAACTTTTCAAGGATATTTTTATACGTAGATATTAAGAAACACTTGTATTACAATTTTATGCAAAAATAATTCCATTCTATCTACTTTGTTAAGTAAAAATATTAATTTTCTTTAGACACTTCCAATTGACGACCGAACCGTGTGAAAAATACGAGTAAACTAACAGAGATGCAGTGCTAAAAATGACAAGTAATAAAATTGTACTAAAACATGACAGCTTTAAGAAATGAGATGAGTATGCGTTAGTTGCTCTATTGCAGTCATACATTTCATTCGAAAAGACTTTGATTAAAAGTGTGTTTCAAATTTATTTACATATGTATGTATGTACATACATATAAATGTACATTGTTATATATGTATGTATTTAATGGACTAGTTAAAATATTTTTCAATATATGGTTGGTGTAATTAACTATGTATAGAAATTTGATAATTATAATAAGTATTTTTATTAAAATTTAAGTTCCGATTTTTCGAGGCATATTATTTTCGCTTTTTATTGAAATAGTTGTCAAAATTGTCGTAGTTTTTAGCTTATGCAGAAACACATTTTTTATTTTTCTCGTCTTTAGTACATTAATACACATCATTTGAGAAGTGTTCCTACAAAAAAGTAGTCGAAGGAACACCCAAATGGTTAAACATACATACATACATATTATGTATTTAAATTAGAAATATCCAACTAAAATTGATATCAAAAACCCACAAAAGATATTTTTTGTTTATCTCATTTCCGTCAGTGGTGCATTTTCCGGTATTTCCGTATATGTATTTATTCTCATAACAATGTCCACGCATGCACACTCATCTCATGTTAAAAATTAAAAGTGTGTTTAGTACAATTTGACATTTTTAGTTAGCACATACATATTTTCACTCGAGTCAGCTGTTCATTATAAATTAAGTAGAAAAAACTTTATTTTTGCATAAAACTATTACACTGTTTGGATAATTTAGCATTAAATTAATAATTAATTGCTTTAAAATGTTCGTGTATACAAGTATCCTTGGATCACTTAAAGTAAATGAAAGAAAATGGTGTGTAAAATTGGAGGAATAATGTTTAGCTTTGTGCCGGCCGGTACGTATGTACATATTTTATGTTCATTGCTATAACCACAATTGTGGATGTGTAGCTTAATAAAAATGTAAATCGAAAAAAAAACAAGTAAGAGTGCTAATTTTAAATTTTAAATAATTTAAAAAATATCAATTTTATAAAATTTAAATTTATTTTATTTTCCCGATTATATCATGAGTATAGTAATAGAAAAACAAAATGAACAACAACAACGCTAAACGAAATAAACACACAAAAAACAAAATACACAAGGCAGTAAAACCAACAGACATCCAAACATACGAAACGAAATACACAAAGAGAGAAACAAAAACAAAATATACAACGCAATGGACCCAACAGACATCCAAACATACGAAACTGAATACACCAAGAAAACAAAAACAATATACACAAGGCAATGAAACACACAGCCATCCAAACATACGAAACTGAATACACCAAGAAACAAAAACAATATACACAAGGCAATGAAAGACACAGCCAACCAAACATACGAAACGAAATAATCAAAAAAAAAAAAAAACAAAATACACAACGCAATGAATAAGCAGTGTTGTTGTTGCTTATTTGTCAAAGCATGAAAAAAATTATATTTTTTATGTAATTTTCTGAACAACTACAAATAATAATATGTATAAAATAGAAAACAAAAAATCAACTTACATACATACATATTGCATTTCCTACATTTCCTTTTTATAATTCACTAATTTGATTTTTAATTATGAACCTTTATTTTATTATATTTTACATAGGTATTCATATCAGAATATTACTTTTTTTCTTAACATATTTAAAGCAAATGCTTTATTTATTTTATTTGACATTTATATTGAAATTACACTAACACTTTTACATTATGCGCGTAATATTGACGCAACGAACGACAACACAAAAGGGACACAGCGGCCGGCACAACAAAATATTTCTTTTTCATTCAAATTTCACATACTTTTTTCCTCTATTTACATTAAAATTTTCAAAGATATTTTTATATACAGATGTTAAGAAACAATTATATTACAATTTTTTGCAAAAATATTTACATTTTATCGGATTTTTTATGCAAAAATATTAATTTTCTTAAGACACTTCTATTTAACGACCGAACCGTGTGAAAAATAAGCGTAAACTAAAAGAGAAAATAAAAGAGATGCGAAAAGTGACAAGTAATACAATTGTACTAAATAGCTGTCATTTAGGAAATGAGATGAGTATGCGTTAGTAACTCTATTGCAATTTTGGAGTTGATACTCACATTACATACATACATATGTAAGTATGTATAGACATATTATGTATTTACAAAAGTATATTTACATCAATGAAGACAACATTCATTCATACAATCGTATTTATGTACATATATTGAAACAATTTAATATTGAAAAGTAGAATCGAAACATAATGAAGGTAATTAATTTAAATGTAAATACACTTACATAAATCATAAGCAATATTTGCATACAATTATATGTCATATAGGATGTAGAAAATATCATATCGATGGGAGTAATACCAACGTTATGTTAAAATAAATGCAACAAAAAGAATATGCGACGAAGTGATGTAAGTGCGTTTTTTATTCACATTAGAATGCCTTAACCTTAACATAACTTTAAGTTATGTTAATCAAAGAAGACAAAAAATTATGTTTTACATTTTTTGGCATTTACATATGTACATGTACATACATATTTGACTAATACTAATATAACACAACACTTCTTCTCTTTACACTTGCTATTGGCGCGACAAACAATAACACAAAGGAAACAAGGCGATCGCACAAATAATTTATGGTTTTCCTACAACTTTACACACATTTTTCATTTATTTATTTTAAATTTTTCAAGGATATTTTTATACGTAGATATTAAGAAACACTTGTATTACAATTTTATGCAAAAATAATTCCATTCTATCTACTTTGTTAAGTAAAAATATTAATTTTCTTTAGACACTTCCAATTGACGACCGAACCGTGTGAAAAATACGAGTAAACTAACAGGGAGGCAGTGCTAAAAATGACAAGTAATAAAATTGTACTAAAACATGACAGCTTTAAGAAATGAGATGAGTATGCGT